TCATATTTCTGATTACTTCTTGAATTTACTATTACTATTCTGAATTATAATAACTCTTTAAAAAGTCACATGCCTTAAACTTGGAATCATATGCAAACTTAAAAGTCCACTTCTACAGTGTATTATGCAAGTCTTTGTTGTTGACTTCAAGTATGATTACTAAGCCCAGAGTGATCCCTCAGAACACTCTTGTGGCAGCTGCAAAGGGTGGTGCTGTGGTCCCCTCTTCTGGTCCATGTGCATCAATTTTACTTTTGTGACACTCACTGCAGTATATACTAAAGCAAGATGAACAAGTGGTATGGCATGGAATTACAACCTTTGTTAAGATCAACATGGATAATTCACAAATCATTCCCTTCAACAAATTTCTTTCTTGGGAAATACAAATTGCTCTGACAAAGTATTCATAGCTGACTATGGTCCAGTATCTTATTTCCTCTACATTGCTGACAAACGTTTTACAGCAACATGTTCATATATTTTAGGTAAGAAAACACTGAGTAAAAAAGTCATAACCAACTCCTTCCTTTTTTAAACAAATATAAAAAACATACAGGAACATTTTAATACCAAGAAATAGCCAGTGCTATCTATAAATATGATATTGAAATGTCCTGCAATGACTTCCATGCATTTTTTAACATTATAGTTAAGTTTAGAACTCATTTTCAGCATTGCTACCCAAAACACAAAAGTGGGGATCCATGTTTATTATCTGCCAAAGATACAGTTCCTCTTTCCCTACCCCTAATACTGTATACCTTAATAGTATAAGCTCCAAAAGAAGGCTTTGTCTAGTTCTATTCACCTTCCCATAAGAGGCCATCAGAACCAGGCCAGGTTCAGTGGTGCATACTTATAATACCAGCTACTTCTGAGGCAGAGGCAGGAGGACTGCAGTTTGAGGGTAGCCTGGGCAGAAGTGAGTGAGACCCTATCTCAAAAACAAAATATAAACAAAAAGACTGGGAAGTGGCTTAAATAATAGAGGCCTTGAGTTCAACTGCCAGTATTAAAAAAAAAAAAGCTAGGTGCCTGTGGCTCACACCTGTAATCCTAGCCAGTGGGGAGGCAAGGACATTGAGACCAGCCCAGGCAACTAGTTCATGAGATCCTATCTTGAAAATAATCAGTACAAAAAAGGGCTCGTATAGGGGCTCAAGTGGTAGAGCACCTGCCTGGCTAGCACGAAGCCTTGAGTTCAAACCCAGTACCACCCAAAGAAAAAAGAGGCCACCGGAACCAAGTGTAAATATACCAGGTCACCCATCATCACTGGCCTATCCATTTCCCACAACCTGTATAACCCTCCAAAATCCTTTTTTGCACCTTCCAGAACTTATGGTCTGTCATCAGCTAAATCCCTAGATGCTGCTGCCAGCTTCTTGCTCTAGCTGAAAGCTGGGTAGACCCTGGCTACTCAAATGGGGATGACTGCATCTGCGGCATTCCATAAATCCCACGAGAAGGAGTTGTCCTCTTTTGCTCACAATCATCATAAAAAGTCACTCTTCCTTTTCCCTTCAACACACAAACCTTGTTTGCTTGAAGTCCATGCAGGTGCATTATATCATCAGCTACATGTAGTTGTATTTATCAGCAGGACTTCGGCCTCCATGTCCTAATGGTCTGCAGGACAATTTATTCTGGTTCAGGTGTGACCTTACATCTCTGCTGATCTTGTTCACTGTTCCTCAGCCTACTTTTATCATCCACAGTCATTTTCAGGCCTCATTACAACCAATAAAAATCTTGACACCAAGTATCTCTTCTGCAAATTCCTACTCATTTCAGCTATACACCTTTAATAATTCTTCAACCTCACTAAATCCTCTCCTTCACTGACCATTTTACTTATTCATTGTTTCTGGTGCTTCAGTGTAGATTGCAGTCTCTTGCATAACTGTCAACCCTCCTATAGCCCTTCTTTTCTACCCAACTTGTCAGAAAAAGCAACTCTAGTTACTTTTCCACCTAAGCCGCACCTGTACCAGAGCTAGAGAAAGACACACATCCATGCTGGTCTGTCTTCAAACTGATAACCAATAACCTCATGTGACTTACATATCCCTAGTTAATTCACTCATCCTCTTTTGTGAGGTATCTATTTACATTTTCTTCTCTCTCCTTAATTTTCTACACCCCTTCTTCAACCTCAAGATGACAACCTTCAAGATAATACTTCTCTAGAAAAAAAAAAAACTTTGCTCCTCTCATTCTCTAAAGGCACTGCTCCTGCAATCATTGCCTTTCTTCTTTTATTAGCTTCTCCTTCTTTACTAGATCATTCTCATCATAAAACACGCTATTATATCTTCCATATTTTTAAAGCCCATCTTGGCCCTATAACCACCTCCAAAACAACCACCCCATCTTCAGTCCCATTTTATCACATAACACCTCAAAAGAATTTCTCTTATTTCTATTACTTGCACTATCAATCATTATACTATTTCAGGTTAGAAATCCTAGGATCATCTTGTGCATTTTCATCCTTCTCACCTGCTAGCAAATACTATCGGTTCTTCCATCAAAATGGTGTGCATCCCTCCTTCCTTTCAACCCTACTTCCCCTGCTACCACTTAAACCAGTCTCTGGAAGCACCACGTGTAAATAACTGAAACAGCTCTCCAACCACCTCTTGGCTGCAGTATCTGCTCCTACTAATCCACTCTACACCTGCCCCCCACCCAGGCTAACATTGATTTTACCATGCTCTGCTTCTCTGCTCATAAACCTAAAATGATTTCTGATAGCTCATATTACCAGACCCCCCCCACTCCTTGCATGATGTTTAAGACATTTCATAATCTAGTTCCATCTTGCCACCCCATCTTTATTTCCTATTACCTATTTCCTATTTACCAACATAAAACCCTGCTCTTTTAGACCAGCTTAGCAAGTATCTTACATGTAAGTCATACAAATTCTCACTTACACATTTTATTCTTGTCTACATTCCTGAAATCCATCATTATCCAATCTTGTAAACTGTTCAGACTCTACCCTCCTTGATAGCTCATCATATAATTCCAGAGCATAGTTTCTTTACCCTGAAACTCCTATCACATTCCAATAAACTTTTGTTACTATTGATGACTTATTCATAAGCATATCATTAATTCTTTCTAGAAGCAAAGTATATTTGAATAAGTAATACTTTTTCCTTCAAAATTAGTTCTAAGCAGGAAATTCCCCGATCCTGACTTCTTACAAGATCTCACATACTTTTGAGAGACTTATTTTGATTAACAAAGTATTTAACTTTAAATGACCTCAACTAATTCTACTTTTGGATTGTATAGAGGCCATCTGAGAAAATAAGTTCAAATTTTTTAAGGCAATTCAATTAGATACAGCAATTATTCCTGTGGGAATAATCTCAAAATTGGAAGTGCTAGATCTCACAAACAGGCTTTTTAGAATTACTTTAAGTAAATGAAGTTAATCTTCACATTGCAAAGTTCAAAAATATACACCTAACTAATCACAAATGTAGCTGTCCTGGCTTTATGTGAATAGACACTGGAGGTAAGTTCCTATGACAACATCATACTTAGATCTGCTACATCTCCAACTGAGCAGGCAGTGAAGAGGGGATGCTCAAGAACAGAGTAAATAACAGGAAAGTGGCCTAAACAGACATCATCAGCCACCATAAGGCATTAAAAACGCTTGAGAAATGTGAGAATGGCAAAAAGTAACACTTTTAAATTGCTGTGTTATTTTAAATATGAGTGAGTGACTTTAAATATGTATGAGAAGTTTAAAGTAACTACTTAATATCATTTATATCCCTGTTTATATACTGAAGTTGGCAAAATACTCTTTTGGCAGCTGGGGACAGAGATGAGCAATGGGCAGAAATTCATCAGGTAACTCACTGTACTGTCTTAGAATCACAGAGTGACCAGAAGAATACCTGCCATGGTTAGTCCTAGGCATGTGACTCATCCATTGTGTAGAAGTTCAATTTAGCAACGTTCAAATTCAAGGACCAGATTAAATGTGATCTATTTCATTTCCATTGTTTTCTACTATATTCTCTCTGAATGATTTAGTAGCATTGGTAAATACAAAGAGCAATGTTATTTTATAGGTACTACAAATTTCTTAATTTTTATTATCATTTAATATAACTTGCAAACATTGATATATTTCAGAAACTTCATCCTGCTCTACTGCTCAATGAGCTTGATTTTGGGGCTTGAAAAATCATTGGCATTCCAAACTGCATTACCAACTTTTCCATCATAGGATGGCATTATTTTTTAGAGGTAAAAGGTACATTTAAGAATGCCTTGTCAGCTCTTCCTTCCCCCCAAGAATAAACTGAGACTAATGCTGATCAGGGATAGTACAAGCCCAGGACTTTCCCCAGTGTTAATTTTAGTTATCAGCCACAGCACCAAGTTCTGAGTACTCCACGTGGAAATACTATGGTTATGAATCATATGTTCAAGTTCTCAATCTTTGTCCTAAGTTGTATGCATGAAAGGGCAAAGGTTATAGGCCATGTTAGCATAATTTTCCTATTACTTTAATTTTAAATTTCTCTCCACACTTATGTAATTCTTGACCCTGACAAAATAAACCTTTCCTGTCTCTTCTGAAGAGCGCCTCTTTTTTGCCAGATGAGCTGTCCTCCTAATTAGCAGATTCTTCATGGAGTACCATCCTATGGTCAGTCAAGCAGAATGGACCTGGTGACAACAGATGCTTATTTCACACATACCACTTGTGAAATAACCATCATATAGAGGTGACCTAGACCAGCTGGCACAAGCTTACCCTACTCACACCATTCCACATTTCTGGGAAACACCACACCCAACATCACATCAGCACCTGATACACTTTGTGTATCTCATTTAGGATTCTAAAAGCTACCAAGCTCTATAAACTTGACTTTGCTTTTTCAAGCTCAAAACTACTGTGGTTCAGTTACACAATGCTAAGGCTTATAAATGGACAGTTAACAAGAATGGATACTTACCTTCGATCCTCTTTAAAGCTGAAAGGCACATATCCTTCCTGGAAAATTCAAAAGGATTGTTGCAGGTTCGAATGGTGTCGCATTCACATTTCCCATTGATTATATTGCAGCCAGAGATAAGATTTTCGTTGCACGGCTCAAAACCAAGCAGCTGATCATCATCCCAGTTCTCATCTGTAAAGCAATCACCCACAAAATGTTTGCTTGCTGTCTCACTCAAAGGCCTGCTTGAGAGCAAAGCCACAAAGGGATGTCAAATGACATCCAATTTTGACATTTCAATTTGTGAAAGGCAGCTGGGGTGAAATTGTACAAATGAATGAAACCCAACTCCTCCTAATAACTCAGAAAAGTGAAATACAGCCAAACATGCATACATTATATAGATAAACATATACGTGTTTAAAATTTTATTTTAAACCAAGTTTCCTGGACATTGCCACATTCAATGAAATTATAGGACTCATATTTATTTGTTCATCTATAAAATTATTTTAAGCTATTTTTTCTCTATCATACAGACCAGCTTTAGCTACTCTTCAACTTAATACATGAAGCAGCTAAAAAAAAAAAAAACTTCAACAATTAGATTCCATCAAAAAGAGTAAAAAAATGAGACCCAAAAAAGGAGACCCAATGAGATACGCTCCAGTGCATTTCAGGATAGACTGCCAGTGTCCACCATTACCCACAGTGAAGCCAGCAATAACCTCAATGCAAAGGACAATAGACAAGTGAGAGGCAAGCTGAGACCAATTCAGGTGCTCGCCATGGGATGAAGTAGATGCTAATAAACAAAGTAAATTTTAAAAACAGATTTCCTGGAACCCAGCTCAGAAAGATGCAATAAATATGACCAAACACAGGCAGGCACGAGTTTTAGTAATATTCCTCATAATTAGAACTCTTCTTACAGGAAACCAGACTACTTCTCTGTGGATCCCTGGGACATCACATGGATTTCTTCCCCTCTTAACACTATCTTTAAAAAATACTTTATCATACTTGAATTGAGGACTGTCTGTTAAACAGTTAACATGTTTCTGGTGACTGTACCTGGAGAGAATTTTTTTAAAATGCTTGAATTTGAGAACCCTTAAACATATTGCTCACATTAAGGCAGGAGTAAGTGCCACGCACGGTATGTGTTTTCGGGCTAGGGTGTGGCTTGGTGGTAGAGAGCTTGCCTAGCAAGTATGAGGCCCTGAAATGGATCCTCAGCCAGGGGATGTGTTCTTAGAAGACAGTGTAAACAAACAGTTATGTTTTTACAGAGCTAACATTTACTTCTGGTGTGACTACTGAATGCACAAAGTAGGCAAGACTGCTTTCCCTCACTGCAATAATTGTCTTGCTAAGGAGTCTTTAAAAGAACACCATTTACAGTATAAAATGCTTCAGGGTGCTTCTTTGAGAAGGGAGAAGAAAAAAATCTCTGTTTTGATTTCAGGAGATCAGGCCCACTTATAAGATCAAGGCCTCAGCTCTCAGTAAAATGATTGTCTTTTGGTTTCAAAATTTAAACAGAAATACAAGTAATCTGTTTTAAAATTTATTTTCTTACTTAATCTATACCTGGTCCTTAGAAATAACACATATACACCATATACACAAACAAAGGCATATGTTTATCTTCAAGGTAACTTGGAATTATTAAAATGCTCTGAAAGGAAAACAAAATAAATTGAACAATTCAACACAGAAAAGGCAGTGCTTGTCTTCAGTTACAAAAAGATGCAAAATGGTGCATCTAAATGAATTCTTATTTCTATGTTTAATTGTTGACAAGCAATTAGTACAACCGTCCTAAAACAGTCTGATGAAATTTGCCATGGAGTACTTCTTATAACTGCAGACACAAATCTGTAATTCAGCAGTTCAACCCTAGCAATCTCAAAACTTGTAAAAAATTCAATAATATTTGAACTACTGAAAAACTACCTATGCTTCTCTTTTTCTTTGTATTTCTGAGACCTTTATCACTGTTTTCATAAATATGTATAACATCACCAACTTGAGTTGATTCTACTGCAACGGTTTTTTTCACAATCGATACCCCTTCTCTCCATTATAACTGGTACTCCCTGAAGAAGTCATCCTCCTGAGCTACCACAAAGTACTCTAACCTGTCTCTGTGTAACTATTTTCTTCTACCTCATTATCCACAGTTATCAAAAACCTGCTCAGTGATTCTTGTCAAGGAGAAAGAGTCAAAAATATATTGATGAATATAAAGTTCTTCATGATAAGGCTTGTACCTATTTCTACAGGCTCCTCTTTCACTAATCTCTCTCATGTCCTAATGCTCTAAGCACACTGGGAGTCTCCAACCTCATAACAACTCCTCTCATGCTTTGTTCATGGAGTACCTTCTGCCCAGAACAACTCCTTCCTTCTTCCTTCAAGATCTGGATCAGTGTAAAGTGTTTTGAGATGTCTTCTCTAACTACTCCAGGAGAAAGCTGTTTCATCCTACTGCAAACATCTGCACTACTGTAGTTTTTATCTAATGGACGGAGTCCTCACTGGCAGGATCTGGGTGTTACCCAACCACGGACCACCTTAACAACACTCAGCATACCATTAATGGTATGGCCAATGCAGTTGCCTGTGTTTCTTTTTTAACAAAAAAGTGCCTTATCATTTTCAAAAATGTATACATGGATATCACAAGGAAAAGTATGTTCTAAGATAATATAAAGAATAAGTTTAAATAACACAAATCTTATTTTAAAGCTTATCATTAAAGCATTGTGAGAGGCATGCATTTTAAGGAAGTGCTTGGGCACACCAGTCCACTTCTCACTAAGCACCATCTGTCATCAGTCTCTCTCCCAGTTCTGCTCTCAGGCTGCAACCTCTTATCACCTGGCTGGTATCACCTGACAGTCCTTCCAAGAAGCCCATCTCAAAGCCAAGCTGTTTTCACTGCCAGATGCTCTTCTCACCTTCCCCATAAAAAGCCATTGCCCCAACTCCCTGACTCCAGACTATTTCCTGCTGCTTTCTCAGCAGAAGCTACCTGGCAGCACCAGAGGATGTTCCTGAAGGTACACATTCCCTCATGAATGTCACAGCCACCTTGCCACGCCAAGAAGCATCTCTGACTGAAGACAGAAATGTCTTACATGCTTCTCTTTTCTTGGTTGAGGGGAGACCTTTCAATTCTCTGCTCACTCCTAATCAATACTTTTGTTTTTCTTCTTGTTGCTAAGTTCCCTTAGCAACAACTCTTTTATAGGAAGAAGTACAATATACTTCTGAGACAAATGTTTTTACAGTTTTCTATTACAGAACGTTATACTTTAAAATAATTTAACAGAAAAATCAACAGGGATTGAAAGCAAAAACCTAATGAAATTTGATTAAATCACACACGCAAATCTGAGCAAATCTGAACCCCATAAAGGCTGAGGAGTCCTTATTCTAACGCTTAGGATCAGGAACATTTTAAATTTCAGACATTTTTTGTTTTGAATAGACTTTGTGTTATATTAGCACTGAGAAAATTCTGGATTTCAGATTTCAGGTTAGAGATGTTCATCCTGCAGTGCTGAGCAGTACTTGGAGAATTCTGTTTTCAAATTTCCACATAGTAAGGATCAAGGTTCTGATTTTCTTTCATAGTGCTTGGGTTTTCAGGAAGAAAATAACAGTTTAAAGCAGGGACATCACCTCTTACATATGGCAAGTAGGATTTTTTTCTTGGTGTTCTGTATGTGACAAGATGTAGTTTTCTAGCTAGAAAGGGCAAAACAATTAAGGTACTTCTGCAAATGTATTTTAAAGTTGTAACTTCTACATTATTACAAATTAGGATATTAGGGCATTTCTCTAGATATAAAATGGGATAAGCCTAATAAACAGATGTACGAGTTCAAATCTATACATGTCCAAATACATGAGTACTACACTGGAGAGTCAGGCACGTGTAACTGCTAACCCAGCATCTCCACTCAGGTGTTTAGAAGACATGCTGGAATATGATGCTTTCCCTTTTCATCAAGACAACATGTACAGAACTACCTCATGTGTACTTCCATTTTATCCCACAGAACATTAAAAAATGTATTATCAAGGGCTGAAATTTAGTAACTTGTACTGTTTTTAATCAAGTGCATTCTTGAATGAAACTGCTTTAAATAATATCTTGTTTATTATTTACTTCTTACCACAATGCGTGGTGGTGAACATAAGGACTCACAAGTACAATTTGGTGCACAGCCTCTAGTTAGACTAATTAACTAAAATTTTAATACTACTATGGAAATAGTGCTGACCTTACATAGCATTTGAAAAGGACCTGGGGTCCCCCCAGGGTGTACAGCCCACTAAAAAGCACAAGTATGTCCCTCCTGGCACACCTGAGCCACAGCAGCACAGCATCCAAGTCTGAGAAATAGCAAGGACACTTGAGACCTCTTCTGCCAATAGTCACTACTGAAGCATAAAAATGGATGTTTCTTTAATTTGACTTAGTTAATATGTAATTGGTAAAATGGAAAATGTTATTAGCATGTAACACAAAAGTTGTATTAGTTCAAATGTGATTTTTCCCAGAAAATTAATGTTTTGAAAAAAACATCAGAAGCAGGACAATTTTTATAATTAAAGGAAAAGTCTTAGTAATATATGAAGACCTGAGGCTGATAATCGTGTTTCAATTCCTTCAATTAGTACTAAAAAAAAAAAAAAAAAGACTGCTTTACTGGCTGCCATTTTCACTAAATGAAACAATCTAGGGAGGTTGCCTATACAAATGAAAAAGTTAAAGATATTCTGTCCAGTATTAAAAAAACAAAAATGGCGGAAGAAATGATTCCCGGATCTTGCATGTAATTCTCATGAAACTGGTCTCCACTATGACTGACTGTGGGCCCCAGGCTCTGAAAGGAGTTTCAGAGCCTGTGAGGCTGCAAAGGATGGGTTGCGAGGGATTCAGGTGCCAAAGCCCAGGGCGGCCTACCTAGGCCAGTATTTTCATTTGTGTTCTTACAGTTTACTTTTAACCCCTTATGTACAAGGTCCCAAAAGTTTTGAGTAACTTCCCCAACCCTGTTTTTCCCAACAGCTCTCTTATTTTTAGTGTGGTGAGCAATTTTGCAGAATGTGAGTGGTTTCCTTATTTAATAGCAAACATGTGAGGACACAGCAAAAACACTGCACTTCAGCCT